TACATGTTAATAACTTGATTGGAATTATAACCTTGAATTGACAGTTTGATACTTTGAAAATTTTGAGCCAGCCCTACCCCCAAGGGCTGTAGGGTGGGGCTCAAAGGAGTCAGTGTGCTAAAATTTCTTCATTTTCCTTGTTAAATCTCAGAGGTGCTAGTTTCAAATCCTTTTTAGTCTGAAATCTGTATGCTAGATATTGAGTAAGGTGGTTTTATTGTTTTTTGTCACTTTGAATAATATTTCTGTTCATGTTAAAAACAAAATCAACTCTGTATAAATATATCAGGTGACCGTTAAGGCCCATGGGCCTCTTGTTTAAATTGTATGCTCAAAAATGACATTTACTGTATTTTGTTATCATGCTCACTTTGGTCATGTTTATGAAATACACTTGTTGATTTAGTTAAACAACATCAAAAGTTGTGATATGGTCATGAACAAGAAACTCATTGTTAAATTACTGAAGTTTCTTAAGTTACAGTACTTTTTCTAAAGAATGACCACCATGTGAGAACATTTCTGATTATTATAAGTAAAACATAGGTGCTCAGGTTCTGGAATATATGTGATATATTTAGGTATCCCACATCACAATATTAATGATAATTGGGTTCTAGAATATATTTAGATATGATATGAGAATTTTGATATATAGAGAATAATACACGGCTTTTTCCATATCACACCAAGTATCAACCCGAGACTGCAATATCAGCCCACACAGGCTGATATTGGTCGAGGGTTGATACTGGGTGTGATATTGAAAAAGGCATGTATTATTCTGTTTATTACATACTTAGTGGAGTGTGATACCGCGAGGACTGATATGGGTTAGAGAAATTGTGTCATATCACATATACAAACAAGAGGCCCAATGGGCCTGCATTGCTCACCTAGTATTAATCTCACAGTTGTAATCTTAAAAGTTGACTAAAATACAGCTACAGGCAGAATATCAGTGTTTGATTCATAAGAACCTATTAAAATATTTAAACATATGACGCCTGTGACCTTGAATCTCGGACAAGGACATTACCTTGAAAGTGGATCAAGGTCATTCATTTGAACAAACTTGGTAGCCCTTCATCCCAGCATGCTACAGGCCCAATATCAGTACCCTGGGCCTTTTGGTTAATAAGAAGTTGTTTGAAGATTTTAAAACATTTGACCCCTGTAAGCTTGAAATTTGGTCAAGGTCATTCATTTGAATAAACGTGGTAACCCTTCATCCCAGTATGCTACAGGCCCAATATTAGTACCCTGGGCCTTTTGGTTATTGAGAAGAATTTGTTTGAAGATTTTAAGACATTTGACCCCTGTGACCTTGAAAGTGGGTCAAGGTCATTCATTTGAACAAACTTGGTAGCCCTTCGGGTCAGGTGAGCTAAAAAAAACGTATTTATTAGTAAGTACGTAATAAAACAAAATATTCTGTGGCCCTCGCTCTGATATGAAGGTCTCATGCTGATAAAGGGTGTGATATTAAAATAGTCTTATAATAACCTTTTTATCATACATTTTGAAAAACAAAACAAAAATAAATAAATTTAACAAATGTTGTTGTTGTTATCGTCTGTGCCAGAAACCAAAGCGTCTAAACCTAAAACTGAAATCTGGAGTGAAGAACCCGGATGAAGTGATATCAGCCCGGGCTGATACCTAGTTGTTGGACCGGGTTGGTGTAAAAACTGTTTATTAGCCTGGGCACTGATAGGACAACGCAAACAACAGCTGTATGACATTGGTAAAATGTATATTATCAGAGCCAAAAGTGTGATGAATAACATTATGTATCACACCTTACTAATAAATCATTAGGGTGTGCAATATCTAGTGGGGTGCGATACTTAAACAGATATTATTATATATATATTCTAGAACCAAATTATTTTTTATTATAGTGATGTCAAATACCTGAATATATCACATACATTCCAGAACCCCAGCACCTGTGAAGTAAATATGTGTCACTTTTTAGGTCAGCTTTCTATGCTAGCTCAGAGCATAAACACTTATGTAAAATGTCATGAAAAGTTATCTTATTTTCATTTAAAGGTTTTTTCTCGCTGTGGCAAGGCCTGACTCCCACCATTATTAAACAGGGCAGTAACCAGGCGATTCGCTTCTTTGTCATGGAGACGCTAAAGAACTGGTACCGCGGCGGAGACCCGAATGTTAAAGTTCCCACCCTAGTCGTAGGGGCATTCGGTGCTTTCGCTGGGGCAGCCTCTGTATTTGGAAATACACCTGTTGATGTTATCAAAACTAGATTACAGGTAAGATACTGAAAGAAAAAGCTATGAAACATTTACAAACAAATATGAATTTAAGTCAATTCTACTGTCCCATTTGAACAAGTCGCTAAATTTATTGCAGAATTACTTCATTTTTATTTTTTCAACACATACACCTTTGAAATAAATTAAGTTTTGATTTCATAATTACTTTAATATGAAAAGGCAACACCTAAAAAGAGCGTAGCTTTTGTTGATATCTGATATTTACTGATTCAGAATACTGCTTTCAGAATGAGATAAGATAAACTTTATTTAAAGTCGGCAAGTCAAGGAATAACAATAAAACATAAGCTCTAATGCGATTAAGACCGACATAACAACGGGGGTAAGTTCGGCCCATCTTTATTAAAGTCTGTTCTGGGAAGTATGGCAGCACGTCCGTTTTTGAGCATTATTTATTTTTCCTATCGGAAGATCGGATGGCCGAACGAGCCCCGCCATTGGGTAAGTTCGGACAGGCATTCAGGTAAGATTATGACGTCATAAAGCATGCAACGTCAGTCAATTTACGACATGTGTTACATGGGCCGCACTTGCCACGGTATCGTTGGCCAAACCTGTCCGGTCCCAAATTGATATTTCCATAAATTCTTATCGTACAGCAATATGGTAGTGAGTGTTTGGCTTGGCTTTTATTTATACATATCATTTGAAGCTGTTAGTGTGTTACACGTTTGACCGTAAAAAAATAGCAATTCTGTTTACAGAAAGTTTGCATAACTAGAAGCGAGATCACGATTTTCTTTCTATACCCTTCCAAAAGTAATTTTCTCCTGTTTTGTATTTTTACATTAGAGTTTTCCTCGCCATTTTTTCGTGTGAATGCCCAGCCAACTAATATGCTAAGATCCTTAAAGAGTTAGAAATATTAGCTAAAAAACAAAAATATTAGGAGTGGCCGAACTTAACCCGGTCTCCCCTATGCAGATTTTTATATCATTGATGATTAGTAAAAATGTATTCACAATATAATTTTTGCATCAATGACGCCATTTTCTTCCAGTCAAAGCTCAAGTAGATATTTGTTCTTGTGCGTAACATATATGATTGGTCGGTGGCGCAGTGAATAGCGCGCTCGTCTTCACCAAGATGGCCGGATTCAAACCCGGTCACCTGCCCGACCACGCGGGTTTTCTCCGGATACTGCAGCTTCCTCCCATATTAAGAATTAAACCCTCTGCGTGCTTCCGTCAGGCCACAAAAAGAATTATTGAAATAAGCTGGGAAAAAACTGTTTGGTAATTACTAAAGAAAAAAAGTGCATATTACATATTTGACAATTAGTCTAAGTAAATGTATAGAGATGTTAGCTAAAAGAATGAAGTTAAAAAAGAAAACATTGTAATACTTTGATGTAACTTAAATTGTCTTGATATGGATATGTAGTCTCAATTACTGTTCCATCCTGAAACACCGGATTGAATTTCAAATTTTGTAACTGTCATCGAGGTTATTTGACAGGTAATGATGCCAAATAAAATTACAGTTTCTGTCTGTAACTAGTTATAAATTGGCACACGTTACATAAAAGTAATATGTTGCTGAAAAGGGGCGTTGCACTTGGGTTGGTTGTCTGGGAAACTATTGTTAACTTTGTCATGAATGCATTTTCCATTGCTTCTTTTATGAGTGGTGATGCATAAATAATGTAAAGACTATATCCAGACTTTCAAAAATGACAATTATTTCGTTCATATCCTCAACTAATGGAAATCAAAAGCTGATGAAATTTAAAATGATCTCTTTTTTGAATTTATCTCCCGTTAGAAATATCAACGGGTTGATGACAAAAAAGATCTTCAGAAAATATCCACATTTTTACTTTTTATGCCTGTGGAAAAAAACTGAGATAAAAAAAATAGTCTTGAAGCACCGACAAAGAGACAAATGCAACGGGCATCAGTTCCAGAATTTTCGGTTATTTTTCATCCTTCCAGAAATAACTGATCAAGGCCGATGGATTGTGACGTGCTTGTGACGTCATAGTATGATAATCTCTGAATGAAGTTTCATGCCTGTTAGTATCACATTTTATGTGGTAAACTTTTTTCACTCAGAATGTATATTATAGTTATTTACCTAAGTAAACAAGTAATAAAACATGAAGATTGTTTTCACTATATGAAGATATTCATGTATGGGTTGAAACACAATTGTCTTTGCTTCAAGGATACACTTACTGTTTCCTCACTGGACGTCTCTTCCGGACGAAAAAAATTAAAGGCAACGTGTAGAAAAGGGAAGCAACTCTGTATACGCATGCATGTGTTACCATGAAAGAGCTACGCTGTTATTAATAAGTTTCTCGTTGCAATTCTATCATCATTGAAACTTGTTACCTGTATGTGGTGTATGGAGTATCAAATTGGTGGCTAAAGGGACCACTGACCTTGTCACCGGTTACAAAGGATAAATTCAGCAATAAAGTAGTTAAACTACTCAGAGTTACCAGTTTAACTATCGGCTAACAAACCTATATCGAGCCCTTTGGCCACTTAGCTGTGTATAACAAAATGGAGACAAAAATGTAATGATTAAGCTATGGTAATAAGAATGGTGTATTTTACAACGACATGGTGACTTTGTTCCTTACAGGGCCTTGATGCTCACAAGTACAAGAACACATGGGATTGTGCTGTCAAGATATACAAACACGAGGGACCAAGAGCGTAAGTATCAGGGTTGTAGACCTTGTGGATATCAATTATCAATAATCTAGTCCTTCTTTCTTCTATTCATAGTGATAAATGGGGGAGAATAACATCATATGCTTGCATGTGTGATACAAAATATGACATTGGTAAGATGTAGCTACTTACTGGGGGTAATAGGAGGAGGATATGTTTTCATTTGAGATTATCACTCATCTTGCTGCTCATTTTGGATCAAACATTTTGTATTTGAACTGCATAAGAAAAGTTATCCAAGATGTCTTTTAATGTAAAAATAAAGTATAACCTGTCTAAACCAACCTCTGTCTAATCTGGAGCACTGTCTAAACCGACTGTGGTTCGGGTCCCGGTATATATCTTCCCTATATAATCATTGTAGTTAAACCCTGTATAAACTGGACCCTGTGCATTCCGAAAACCGACATTGTTTAGTAATCCATGTAAAAACAACATGTTCATTCCAGTCCTGAAATTTCTCTCGGTCGGCTACAATCTAAAGCAAACACATTCTAATCGAATTAGCGCTATCCAATGTCGGGTCGCCCTTCATTTGTATTATATACTGTGTATTTTGTTAATAATTACATGTTGCAATTGATTTATTTCTCTGTTGTTTATGTTGATACACTTGTATACAGATTGTATGCAAAACACTACATTTTTGTATTTTCAAAAAGTGACATGCCGACCCTGTATAAACTGGACACCTATGTAAACTGGACAAATAGTTTGGTCCCGGTGACATCTGGTTTAGACAGGTTTATTTTGTATCTTGATTGGATATTATCTATATGTAAAATTAAACCGACAGAAGTATTCTGTGATGTACAATAGTTGTAATAACATAAATCACTCATACTTGGTCATGAGGTTCATATAACAGAGTCGATTTGAGTGTGAAGAATGTAGGAAAGGAAACGGCTACAGCCTGTCTCTGATAGGAGGAGTTCATGTTGAATCTCAAACAGTAAGTATGCCAGTACATCTACAGCCTGTCTCTGATAGGAGTTCATGCTGAATCTCAAACATTAAGTATGCCAGTACATCTACAGCCTGTCTCTGTTAGGAGGAGCTCATGTTGAATCTCAAACATTAAGTATGCCAGTACTTCTACAGCCTGTCTCTGATAGGAGGAGTTCATGGTGAATCTCGAACATTAAGTATGCCAGTACATGTACAGCCTGTCTCTGATAGGAGTTCATGTTGAATCTCAAACATTAAGTCTGCCAGTACATCTACAGCCTGTCTCTGATAGGAGTTCATGCTGAATCTCAAACATTAAGTATGCCAGTACATGTACAGCCTGTCTCTGATAGGAGTTCATGTTGGATCTCAAACATTAAGTATGCCAGTACATCTACAACCTGTCTCTGATAGGAGTTCATGTTGAATCTCAAACATTAAGTATGCCAGTACTTCTACAGCCTGTCTCTGATAGGAGGAGTTCATGGTGAATCTCGAACATTAAGTATGCCAGTACATGTACAGCCTGTCTCTGATAGGAGTTCATGTTGGATCTCAAACATTAAGTATGCCAGTACATCTACAACCTGTCTCTGATAGGAGTTCATGTTGAATCTCAAACATTAAGTCTGCCAGTACATCTACAGCCTGTCTCTGATAGGAGTTCATGCTGAATCTCAAACATTAAGTATGCCAGTACATGTACAGCCTGTCTCTGATAGGAGTTCATGTTGGATCTCAAACATTAAGTATGCCAGTACATCTACAACCTGTCTCTGATAGGAGTTCATGTTGAATCTCAAACATTAAGTATGCCAGTACTTCTACAGCCTGTCTCTGATAGGAGTTCATGTGGAATCTCAAACATTAAGTATTCCAGTACATCTACAGCCTGTCTCTGATAGGAGGAGTTGATGTTGAATCTCAAACATTAAGTATGCCAGTACAGCTACAGCCTGTCTCTGATAGGAGTTCATGTTGGATCTCAAACATTAAGTATGCCAGTACATCTACAACCTGTCTCTGATAGGAGTTCATGTTGAATCTCAAACATTAAGTATGTCAGTACATCTACAGCCTGTCTCTGATAGGAGGAGTTGATGTTGAATCTCAAACATTAAGTATGCCAGTACTTCTACAGCCTGTCTCTGATAGGAGTTCATGTGGAATCTCAAACATTAAGTATTCCAGTACATCTACAGCCTGTCTCTGATAGGAGTTCATGTGGAATCTCAAACATTAAGTATTCCAGTACATCTACAGCCTGTCTCTGATAGGAGGAGATCATGTTGAATGTCAAACATTAAGTATGCCGGTACATGTACAGCCTGTCTCTGATAGGAGTTCATGTTGAATCTCAAACATTAAGTATGCCAGTACATCAACACATGGCTCGATCAGTGTCACATTAATTGTACAAAATGTTTGAAATTGGAACCTGTTGTTATTTATAATCTTATGTTCGTACAATGGGTATTGTTTATGTTCGAGGGGCATCAATCTGTTTCAATGATATTAATTCTTATTGTAGCGACATTAGTAGATGATCTTTGTAACGACATTAGTAGATGATCTTTGTAGCGACATTAGTAGATGATCTTTGTAGCGACATTAGTAGATGATCTTTGTAGCGACATTAGTAGATGATCTTTGTAACGACATTTGTAGATGATCTTTGTAACGACATTAGTAGACGATCTTTGTAACGACATTAGTAGACGATCTTTGTAACGACATTAGTAGATGATCTTTGTAGCGACATTAGTAGATGATCTTTGTAGCGACATTAGTAGATGATCTTTGTAGCGACATTAGTAGATGATCTTTGTAGCGACATTAGTAGATGATCTTTGTAGCGACATTAGTAGATGATCTTTGTAGCGACATTAGTAGATGATCTTTGTAGCGACATTAGTAGATGATCTTTGTAGCGACATTAGTAGATGATCTTTGTAGCGACATTAGTAGATGATCTTTGTAGCGACATTAGTAGGTGATCTTTGTAGCGACATTAGTAGATGATCTTTTTAGCGACATTAGTAGATGATCTTTGTAGCGACATTAGTAGATGATCTTTGTAGCGACATTAGTAGATGATCTTTTTAGCGACATTAGTAGATGATCTTTGTAACGACATTAGTAGATGATCTTTACGATATGTTTTAGATTTTACAAAGGGACCATTCCAAGACTGAGCAGAGTGTGTCTAGACGTGGCCATCACATTTATGATCTACGACTCATTTATGGAAGCCTTCAATAAAATCTGGAAGACAGACTGATGTAGTGGAAATACCACACTGAAAGAACAGGAATCAGCACCACTAGGCCGTGTCACACATCTAGTATAGGGCTAGATTGTATAGCATTCTATTGGGTCTTATACCTCCTGTCATGAATATTAATGAGCTGTGAATTTGTGATGTATGCAGATATTATATATATATATATATATATATATAGGTGTGTGTGTGTGTGTGTGTGTGTGTGTGTGGGGGGGGGGTCATGAATACTGAACCAGAGGGAACATATATGTTTGGGAGTGTGTCAGGCCCACAAAACCAGAGAGACCATCAATGTACTGCTTCTGTAGGGCACCTGAAATGTGCCATTTTACCTGTAGGTTTTAGGTATTAGGTCGTCTCACCTGTAGGTCATTTCACCTGTGGATGACCTCATTTGGAAACTAAATCTGCTGTGACTGGTTCTGACAATAACAGATTTGTTGTAGACGCTTGCATAAAATGCCATGGTCATTACATTTTAACCTTAGAAACTCTAAATATACGAGTGTTTGAGTAAATGTTCCTGTCCGTGTGCTTTGTTATTTCACACTGTATGAGTGTTTGAGTGATATTTAGCAACAGGAAAGTCTGCATGTAAAAGTGTTGTTAGAGAGCAAGTGTTTGGGTGATTATTTGTGTGAAGGAGTAAGGGTAATTCTTAGTTACAAGAGAGTGAGTATTTCTCAGTGTACAAGTGTCCAGGTAGATCTTGTTTGCAAGTATATGTTTGTGATAGTGAACAATTGATCAGGTAAATTTTAGTTTAACAAGAGTTTGGGTAATTCTTAGTGTACAAGTGTTTTGGGAAATTCATAGTGTAAATGTGTTTGGGTTATTCTTAGTGTACAAGTGTTTAAGTATTAATTAATTCTTGAGTAAACAAGTGTTTAGGTAATTCCAGTGAACAAATGTTTAGGAAGTTCTAAGTGTACAAGGGTTTGGGTAATACTTACTATACAGATGTTTGGTTATTCGAAGTGTACGAGAGTTTGGGTAATACTTACTATACAGATGTTTGGTTATTCTAAGTGTACATCACTGTAATTCCAGTGAACAAATGTTTAGGAAGTTCTAAGTGTACAAGTGATATAAATGTTTTGAATGGTATAGTAATTAGATAAAAAAAAATGTGAACATTTCCAGACCAGACAAAATCCAAGTCGAGTTGGTGGTCAATTGTGAAGCTCATAGCTGTGGTAACAATGTTTAATTTGTTGAAGTTTTGTATGTTTTCTCCTTTGATATTGCTAATGGTACTATTTTTTATTTTGAATATATTGACTATGTCAAGTCCCTATATTGTCACAGGACTTGGATTCCTACATATCTTTGCTAACTTTACTTACCAATACTTGTTCATCTGTCTATTGGGTTCATCAAAACATTCCCAAACTTAGTTACATGCGTGTTATTTACGAGCAGAAACATCTTAATCAAGGCACTTGTCTACTTCAGAATCTGATGTTTTTGTAACACAATAAAGCCAGTGTCCCAGGATTGCATTAATTAGATGATCAAGAATGGTGTATCAATGTCTAGATTATTCCTTTTGGAAGCACCTGCTACGTTTACCTCCCTACTTAAAGTCTAGAAAGACTTAAGTTTATTATGTTACAAACAGGCTTGCCCAGAGTTGTTCTTTGTGAAATAAAGACATTAACAGATGTTTTCTGGTGGCCGAGTGGTCAAGGCGTCTGACCATCTATGATCACTAGCCCTCCAGCACTGGGTTGAGGTTTGAGGCCTATATTGGGTAGTCGCCATGTACTGGCCAAAGGTGGTGGTCTTTCTATGGATATTCTGGCTTTCCTCCACCACCACCACCACCACGACCTGGTTCGTCCACAAATAAACATGGTTTAATAGGATGTAAAGCACAATCAAACTAAATTCGGGGCTATTCCTGAAAACAGTTGCATCAAATGCAGACAAATAAGTCATTCCAGATTAATGTATGCCCTAGCAAGACTTGGGAACCGCCATCTTCTGACAAATTTAGTAACCTTAAGCTTGGTTACCATAGCCTCACATGTAAGCCATGGTTGCTAAATAGGTATTAATGCTAGGCATTGACCACATCGCCAGATCATCATCTTTTAATTATGATTTAATTGTTATTAATATATTTTTGTTAGATTATTATATTTTAATTATTTTCATATTATATATTGTATTTTCTTTTATTATGAAATCCATATATTTATGGTACAACTCTCCAGTGAGATGTGAGAATGTTTTTTATTTATTATAGTGCTGTAGTTATTTTGTTATATAGTAATACTACTTCAAACATCCAGTGACCCACTCTGGTCATTGATCTGATACTGTTGTACACTTTTTATTTGGAAATGTCCTATAATCCTTTATAGTGGCTGATCCGATATACTGCTGTATCAACTTTACTAGGACACGACCAGTGGTCTTACTGCTGTGGCAGTTCCAATACTGCTGTATCAACTTTACTAGGACACGACCAATGGTCTTCTGCAGTGGCAGTTCCGATACTGCTGTGTCAACTCTTTAGACCAAGATTAAATAATAAGTGGACTTAGCATGACCAATTTTTGGAGTTACTGAGCTAATCTGAAATATTTGTTATAGCAGAGCATGTTTTGTGTTGGTGCATCAAGTGTTCATTCAGGGGCGTTTCTAGGATATTTGAAAGAAATCTTTCGCCGAGCGGGGCGAGTAAAAAAAAAATTGGACCAATTTTTTGCTAAAATACATAAAATAATTGTGAAATGCACTATTGTAACGGTTCCTGACTTGGAGCATGTATATTTTATAGTTAAAGTGTCAGGGTGTTTATGTGTTTAATTAATGAATATGATAAATTGCCATATTCAATACAATATTAGCAGATTATGATAGTTTTTATTTATTTATTTTTTTGAAAAGGGGGGGGCGTACGCCAATTACGTATTATGTTTACTTCCTCACAGTTTTAGAGATTTATTTTTCCAGTAAGGGTCTATTACATTTTGAAGTTTTTAAATTAGTGTCTTAGAATACAAATTAAACAAAATATATACTATTGTGTAACTAGATCACAATAATATTATATAGTCCTCTCTGCTGTCTGCTGTCTGCTGCTGATATTACTAATGAGAAATAGTAGTAATCTTTTATAAGACTTTGTTCATTTCTTGTACTAGTTATCAAGTGCTAACATGTTCATAGTAATGCAAAGAAAATTATATATTAGGTTTTTTATCCTGTGCAATTTACCTTTTAAGCTGCAATATAGCATAATCTGCATGAAGTTCTAAGTTGTGGAGTTTCAATTAATGTACCTGTATTGTTCATATAGCTAAGTGTACATCATGTTAGTTTTTTGCAGAAAATGTTGGCATGTTAGCAAAAGATTGCTTATTACCTTTTCAGAGGTAACTACCTTATATGGTGCTCTATAAGTGTGGGATTAACAGAATCTCTCGCCCCCTTGAGGGTGAGATAGGGGAATCTCAACCCGAGGGGGAAGATTCCTAAGTTGCCAAACACAAGGCTTTGCAGAGTGTTTGGAAACTTAAGAATCTTTCCCCCGAAGGTTGAGATTCCCCTATCTCGCCCTCAAGGGGGTGAATGATTATTTTTCTCTTACCCTGTTCACCCATTATGTATCATATACATAATGTAGTGTTAACGTTACAGGCTAAATCCAGAGTTGACGTGACGTTGATGGATTGTTGATGTGACGTCATTGTATTGTTAACGTGACGTCATTGTATATCGCTTTCCGTCCGTCGTCGTTGTTATGAATAAGGGAATCCCCCGTCTCAACCCTAGGGTGAGACCAGGATATCTCACACTGGTAAAATTGTAGATACACCTGTCCAGGGTAAGAGAAGACAAAATCTCTAATGGCTAGTCTTGTTTAAATATCACAATTAAATTGTGATATCACACAAGACTTTAATTTGATGTTATCGGTGAGCACAACATTTTTGAAATAGCAGTTTTTGATTCAAATCTGCCAGGTAAGGTTACCGATGGCAATTAAATATTCCATACCGTGGGTAAAATAAATGTCTCGTTCCGTACTAGCTGTACTAGTATCAGTCTTCCTTTAAGTTGCAATTGTGTATGGATTAAGAATGTTTGTACCTGATCCTGTAAATTTGCAGGTATGGCTACTATTACCTTATGTATAAATATATATAGGAAAAGAAGGTTCAATTTCGGTTAATATTTCACATAATTTCCAATATATAACTTTGGTTGATATTTGACAGATTCTGGTTAAAATGAGACTAATTCAGGTTACTGTGTGTATGCTGTAATAAGCCTAGGGTGCCCGACACATAATCTCCCACTCAAAGTAGTGGGGGAGGGAGCTCATTATAGGGTAATAAAACAATACTTATTGGGCATATTGATTTATATCTAAGTGGGCTTATTACCAAGCTTGGGCTTATAGTGCCAGATACAGTAATATGACACATGATTTAACTGTTCAGCAAACTAATTCCAGAAATTAGAAAGCAGTTGATGTGATGGCATTATTTTAACTCAAAACAAATAACTTTTAGTATAGAAACATACAGCAATATATGATAATTAAGATGTTATTAATCAGTGAGAGCAATATATGATAATTAAGATGTTTAATCAGTGAGAGCAATATATGATAATTAAGATGTTTAATCGGTGAGAAAGTGCAGGATATAACCAATTAACGAGTCATTGTACCAGAGATGTAGCCGAGTCCATTTGTATTATGAATTTGTTAGGGTTTAATTATACATTCTGTGATTGAGGTATGTGAACCCTATTGTACAGTAGTTGTGATTTATTATCAGTGTTCTGACCATGTGTCAGTATGGAGATACAATATATATATATACACACGAGGGACCATAACAGTAATAAAGTCTGTAGACAACATGTGTATCCTGTTTTCTTTGTTTTAGCACCAGTCAAAACATTTAAGCATTTTGGCAGATTCATATTCATATTCCAAGTATTATGTCAGTAGAACGTTTTTTTTTAGGTCACCTGAGCTTTGCTCAAGTGACCTATTCTAATCGCTTTCCGTCCGTCGTCGTGCGTAAACTTTTTACATTTTCAACTTCTTCTCAAGAACCAGTGGATGGATTTTTTCCAAACTTGGTCAGAATCATCCTTGATAGATGAGGCTATAAAAATGTAAAATTGGGATTCCTACCCCAACCCCTGGGGCCAGGGCTGGGCCCCAAAGGGAAAATTAACCAATATTTCAAAAATCTTCTTCAGACTCAGAGGTACTACACTCAATTTCTCTCCATGGAAAGAAAGATCATCAGGGGCTTTACTTAAATTGTAAATTTCAGGACCCCCAAGCTATTCGTTCTCCCTTGGGGAGGGGGTAAAGTTTACTATAGTTTATATAGGAAAATAACACTTTTGGGTATATTTTGACAACTTTCTGTAGGAAATTATTTTTACTTGGTGAGAATTACCCTTGGAGGAAGATGGTTTCAAATTGTAAAATTGAGAATCTTACCCCAACCCCTGGGGTCAGGGCGGGGCCCCAAAGGGAAAATTAACCAATATTTCAAAAATCTTCTTCTCCAGACTCGGAGGTACTACATTCATTTTCTCTGCATGGAAAGAAAATCATCAGGGGCTTTACTTAAATCGTAAATTTCAGAACCCCCGAGCTATTTGTTCTCCCTTGGGGAGGGGGTAAAGTTTACTATAGTTTATATAGGGAAATAACACTTTTGGGTATATATTTTATCCATTTTCAGCAGAAAATTACTCAAACTTAGTCAGAATCATCTTTGGTGAATGAGAGTATTACTTTGTAAAATTGGGATTCCTGCCCCATCCCCAGGGGCTAGGGCGGGGCCCCAAAGGGAACATTTACCAATATTTTCAAATTCTTATCCTTTGATGACATGACAAGTATTGTATTTCACTTAGTTTACATGGTGATTTCCACATCACATCTAAACAATAAAATAAAGCTACCAGTACCTACGATATAACTCAGGTGACCGCTAAGGCCCTTGGGCCTCTTGTATTATTCAATGGGGTCAGAGGATTTCTGATCAGCCTACAGCTAGATTGATTTCCTTCAAATATAGAAAAAGATTCTAGGTCAAGTAACATAACATCGGTAAATATAAAGAACATATATACAAGCACCTATAATGCACCTGCAACTACCAGGATTTGAACCTTGGACCTCCAAACTCTAACCAACGGCACCCAAAGACACGCCAGACTATACCACCTTGTTTGGGTATATATAGTTGGGTGCCAAATGTAATAGGAGAAAAGTACAATGACCAAACCAGGATTCGAACCCTAATTTCTCATTTTCCAAATCAATCAAACATTTGTTTATGATGATTATTGCTTGGATCTTTATGTCTCAGGGTAACAGGCTATAACATCTTTATCAGTATTAGCATTAGCGGAGATGGACATTAGGACTTCCAGAATTGTATTAGCACATATCACCTCTTGGCCGAGATCACTAGGACTTTCAATTGTATTAGCACATATCACCTCTTGGCCGAGATCACTAGGACTTTCAATTGTATTAGCACATATCACCTCTTGGCTGAGATCACTAGGACTTACAATTGTATTAGCACATATCACCTCTTGGCCGAGATCACTAGGACTTACAATTGTATTACCACATATCACCTCTTGGCCGAGATCACTAGGACTTACAATTGTTTTACCACATATCACCTTTTGGCTGAGATCACTAGGACTTACAATTGTATTAACACATCACCTTTTGGCTGAGATCACTAAGACTTACATCACCTCTTGGCTGAGATCACTACGACCTACATTTGTATCACCACACATCACCTCTTGGCCGAGATCACTAAGACCTTCATTTGTATCACCACATATCACCTCTTGGCCGAGATCACTAGGACTTACAATTGTTTTACCACATATCACCTTTTGGCTGAGATCACTAGGACTTACTATTGTATTAACACATCACCTTTTGGCTGAGATCACTAAGACTTACATCCCCTCTTGGCTGAGATCACTACGACCCACATTTGTATCACCACATATCACCTCTTGGCTGAGATCACTACGACCTACATTTGTATCATCACATATCAACTCTTGGCTGAGATCACTACGACCTACATTTGTATCACCACATATCACCTCTTGGATGAGAGCTCTAATGGGTAGCAGATAACACTGACATGAAGAGATCACAAAGACTTGCTTTATTACAAAAGTGATTTTATTTCACTGGTCTGTACATGTGAAAAGAACATGAGATTCTAATGACAATATATACAAACACAATCTACAAATGGAATTATAGTACTAGTAATAAGTCACTCTTTTTATGAAAATAAACATATCTAACTAGTTCACTCTTTTTTTCTTGATTCATCTACTTGCTTTTTAAACCTTATTTTATCGTAGGCTGTACATAAGCCTAATGAGATGACCTTGTAAGTCTGGTGATCAAATTTATATAATTTGTCGCATCATTACACTATAATATACACAATGTAAATGGTGGGTTTCATTGCATCAGTCTAATATGACAGTATTCGTGATCTACTTTGAATATAAAAAACTGCTACAAACATGAATTACTTCAACATGACTATATATTGTTGAATATTTAGAAATTGCTCATCTGGTGGTGACGGTTAACTTAGCAGCAGCAGATGGATATCAAATGACATTATAAGTACATGAACGTCATAAACAAATGAAGATGACGAATTCAGAATGAATTTTCAGATACTGGAACTTTAACAACTTCCATTCAAACAGTTTGCTTTCTTCCAGGTTAGTTATTTGAACACGGTGAATTTTCCATACATTCAGATTCACACACCAATGTAATTACAACTGTAAATGTGGTGGTACATGTAGTATGTTGGCTAGGATTAATGTTGGATGTTTTATAAGGATATATTCAAAAGTGACGACTACTTGCAACAACAATTGGACGCAACATATATCCTTGCTCTAAGGGAGGAGGTCTTCTGACCCCGCTGACCCAGGTGACAATGATATGTAGACCAATACTTGAAAACTTGTGGAGTACTCTGGACCTGATTTGACCAAGGGAGTTTTTTAAACAAAAAATTCATGTACATAGACCAGCTTCTCAAAAACCTACAATTGTTTATGTGTTAAACTAATAAATGATAATTTGAAAAAGCCTCTGCAACAATTATTTGGTTTTAAATATATATTTTTTTTAGATTTAACTACCAGACTTTTAACTGATAACTTCACCGACTACATTTCACCTATCGCTGCAACACACATGTTAGTTAGTAAATACTATTACAGAAATCACAGCATTCGGTCCTAATGTATATTGTTAAAGATGAGAGTGACTTTGCACCAAACGTATTAAATAAATCAATATAAACAAATTATACAATACATTCCCCACACTTGCAAAACAAATTGGATAACCTGTTTTCTCATTTGAAAAAAAAAACAAACTTGATCATACGTCCAGGTGAGCTAAAAATGAAATAAAATAAAGCAACCTATGTTGATACATGTATATACTTGGTTAACCTATTTTCTTATAGCCCAAGGGGCCTTGTCCTCAGACAGGAGTCTTCATTTGTCTCGTGGTGTCTTCACTGGTCCTCTTACAGGATAATAAATGGGCACTATACAGGAAAGATTTTTTTCTAAATATGATCCTGATCTGTGAGTTAGAGCTCATCACCGGTAACATTTGTATGTAAGGTAAGACCACTTATCTTCCCATGGGTATTACAATGTACAGAGGTACACTGTGTTAGCCCTCCCATGGGTATTACAATGTACATAGGTGCACTGTGTAATACCTCCCATGGGTATTACAATGTACATAGGTGCACTGTGTAATACCTCCCATGGGTATTACAATGTACAGACCTCCTATGGGTATTACAATGTACAGAGGTACTCTGTGTAAGACCTCCCATGGGTATTACAATATACAGAGGTACACTGTGTTAGACCTCCATGGGGATTACAATGTACAGAGGTTCACTGTGAAAGACCTCCCATGGGTAGTACAATGTACTGAGGTACACTGTGTAATACCTCCCATGGCTATTACAATGTACAGAGGTACACTGGGTAAAACCTCCCATGGGTATTACAATGTACATAGGTGCACTGTGTAATACCTCCCATGGGTATTACAATGAACAGAGGTACACTGTGTAATATCTCCCATGGATATTACAATGTACAGAGGTACACTGTTTAATACCTCCCATGGGTATTACAATGTACAGATGTACACTGTGTAAGACCTCCCATGGGCATTACAATATACAGAGGTACACTGTGAAAGACCTCCCATGGGTATTACAATGTACATAGGTGCACTGTGTAATACCTCCCATGGGTATTACAATGAACAGAGGTACACTGTGTAATATCTCCCATGGGTATTACCATGTACAGAGGTACACTGTGTAATATATCCCATGGGTATTACAATGTACAGATGTACACTGTGTAAGACCTCCCATGGGTATTACAATGTACAGAGGTTCACTGTGAAAGACCTCCCATGGGTATTACAATGTACAGAGGTACACTGTGTAATACCTCCCATGGGTATTACAATGTACAGAGGTACACTGTGTAATATCTCCCATGGGTATTACAATGTACAGAGGTACACTGTGTAAAACCTCCCATGGGTATTACAATGTACAGAGGTACACTGTGTAATACCTCCCATGGGTATTACAATGTACAGAGGTACACTGTACGTGTAAGACCCAAATCATTTTGGAACAAAATACATTGTATATATCTACTGCAAAATGTGCAGTAAATATTCATTGCACGTTTTCACCAAAACACTAATCCATGGGAAAATTGCAAACAGACTGGTGTGGTATACACTAAAAGTGCTGTGAATCTGTGACCAATGGTAAGTAAAACGGTTATCATTGGTGGAGTATAGCCCACCTAACCACTGCTGGTCCTAGACTGTGTGACCTCAGTGGAGTATAGCCTACCTAACCACTGTTGGTCCTAGACTGTGTGACCTCAGTGGAGTATAGCCCACCTAACCACTGCTGGTCCTAGACTGTGTGATCTCAGTGAAGTATAGCCCACCTAACCACTGCTGGTCCTAGACTGTGTGACCTCCGTGGAGAATAGCCTACCCAACCACTGCTGGTCCTACACTGTGTGACCTCAGTGGAGTTTAGCCCACCTTACCTCTGCTGGTCCTAGACTGTGTGACCTCAGTGGAGTATAGCCCACCTAACCACTGCTGGTCCTAGACTGTGTGACCTCCGTGGAGTATAGCCTACCCAACCACTGCTGGTCCTACACTGTGTGACCTCAGTGGAGTATAGCCCACCTAACCACGCTGGTCCTAGACTGTGTGACCTCAGTGGAGTTTAGCCCACCTTACCTCTGCTGGTCCTAGACTGTGTGACCTCAGTGGAGTATAGCCCACCTAACCACTGCTGGTCCTAGACTGTGTGACAGTGGAGTTTAGCCCACCTAACCACTGCTGGTGCTAGACTGATAAACAGCAGTTGGTCTTAAATTTACACTTATTGGCATCTAATTCAATTGAACATTATCTTTAAAATGATGGCTATGCCCATGGATCCTACATGGTTCCTAAAATGCTGAATCTTCCGTCCTGACTCCACTAGCGGCCCTTCTGTTATAGTAAAGGCTGAGCCGACAAGGATCCGTCCCTTCTGTTATAGTGATGGCTGAGCCGACAAGGATCCGTCCCTTCTGTTATAGTAAAGGCTGAGCCGACAAGGATCCGTCCCTTCTGTTATAGTGATGGCTGAGCCGACAAGGATCCAACACTTTCCACTTCTTGGCTTGCCTAGGGTTTAGCTGTGATGGAGTATTCTGGAAGATCGTGGCTGTTCCTGATTGGACCATGTTCCTCCTGCTACAGGGATGCCTCGCCTACCCCCAGGTACTCATCCTGCAGAATAGTAGAACTTTAATCATTTTATGTTATTATACAATTTAATTCTACAGCATGTATTACAATTAAATATTAAAACTTGTGTTCCTATAGTGATGGTTATGTTTGGACCAAGGCTATTATAGCAGTATGAGGCCTGTCTGGTATGATTCTTATCGCTGAACTCATAGACAAATAGGACATCCATCACATATAATGTATTGTTTTTATATTATTGACAAATATTTTATTAATTTGCTGAAACAGATGTTTTCTACAAGTTTTATGGATTATCAGTTCTCGAATAAGAATTGTGTAAAGAGTTGATCACAAATACTGTAAAAATGTTCACAGAACAGGGTAATTGATAAAAAAGGTCTACAAATAGATACCTAAGATATGTGGGCAATACAATGACAGCTCAAAGAATTAATTTACAAATATTTTATAATGACTTGTGCTAAATTAATATCCCACAAACCACACATAAACAAACCAACCAACATGCCTCAAAAACACTTCACACCAAAAACAACACTGAACCATGCAACATCATCAACAGACATGGTTTTGCAACAAAACAGGAAGATTAGACAAGTGACAACAATGTCTCGGTGAATGTCAAGTACCCTGATCAAAAGGTCACAAAGAATACAAGGTGTCCTTATCACAAAGTCAAGATGAAAACTTGGTACCAAAATACCATTACCACAGGGTCACTTTAGTTATCCAGTGCTGTTACCAAAGGGCCACTATGGTTATCCGGTGCTGTTACCACAGGGCCACTATGGTTATCCGGTGCTGTTACCACAGGGCCAATATGGTTATCCGGTGCTGTTACCACAGGGCCACCATGGTTAACTGGTAGTGTTACAGCAGGGTCACCATGGTTAACTGGTACTGTAACAACAGGGACACCATGGTTATCTGGTACTGTTACAACAGGGACA